ACAACAATAAAAAATTCCATGTACAATTCAATCTTTCATAATTAGGGAGAAATAAAGAGGAGAGTTGGGAAGTATGGGTGAGAATGTTGAAAAGGGTGACAATGATCAAGGTGTACTGTATTCATAAACTGCTTTATTAAATAGCAACTCCTTTGTACAACTACTTAAAGATTATAAAAATAAACAAAAAATATTTCCTTCCAGCTGAAAAATAGAGACATCACATGTGTCATATAACCCTTAAATAATAAATGTCCAGCATGAGAAACTAATTGATAAGTTGGTCATATATATTAAACATAGATAAAAATATTTATGTGAGAAAATTTCATCAGAGTTCAATTTGGGAATATTCTAATTTTATAGCCCCTTCTCAGTTCTAGAGACAAATTTCCCCAGTGCTCCTTAAAGTAGGACTTAGTCCTGCTCCTTTCTGTATACTCTCCTCATTCCCATAGATAGAAGCAGAAAGTCATGTGCTTGTGACTTGGTATACTATAATTCCACCTACACTGAAGAAAACTCCTTTGGGAAGAGGAGAGACACATCTGTGAATATTACCTAATATGCCATATACTTCTAGGAATATCAAATACAAGTGCAAAGGTAGAGACTGAGTCTTAAAGAGCTTTCAAAGTGACCCTCAGGAGTGTCTTCTCTGGGAAGAGGAAAGGTAATGACTTTCTGATTCCATAGCATTGGCCCAGATTCACCTTCTAAGGAAAGGAACGAGCTCTAGTTTCTACACAGAACAAGACCAAAGCAGAGAGGTGGGCTATAGGTCAACTGACAGTAAGAGACTGGAAACTCAAAGCTTCAGTCCTATTAAATATCTCAGCTGGTGACTGCAGAGGAGACTTGACTGGTGGAATGCAGAGCACTTCACTAAGGAGAAATAGGAATAAATGGACACAAGAGGTCAGGCAAAGAGACATAAGAGGAAAGAAGCTTCTGAAAAATAAGCCATGTCAAGCACAAAGGTAGAGAGAGGCATGTGGGTGTGTGCATGTACCTGTCTGTGAATGCATGCACACACAGCATAATCCTTCCAAAAAGGTTGTTTGCTCTGTGACAAGAACCTGAAGAAAGTTTAAATTCTCATCAAGTCTGCCAGGGGTCACAGAAAACATTATACAGACAGACCAACAGTAAGTGTGCAGACCAGTATAAACAGCCACTGACGACACCTGAACCCAGTTCTAGATAAGTGGACAGAAGAAACTTGAGTTTTGTATTTCTTTTCTTTCTTTTTTAGGTCGCAGTCCAGAACTTGTAGAGCTAATGATCTACCAACTAAGTCAACCTTCATCCCTAAATTTGTATATTTAAGAAGAAGATTAGAGTTAGTAAAAATGTAGAGCTAGGGGTGTCGATGCTGGTGTGGAATGTGGTACTCATTCCACTGGTGGTATACAGGTAATCCTAAGAGCGAATGAGTATGAATGTTTTTTTCCATGAATGATTACTTATTTTAATGTATAATAGAAGATAATATAGTGAAAACCTCAAATTCATCATTTTAGAGATTTCACAATTCATGATGAGGCCATATAAAGAAATCAGTTGAGGTAAGTTTAAAATGCATTAAACAGAAAATATCATGAATTACAGGGTTGTGGCACAACAGTAAATAGAGATCATTGAAGTTTGGGAAGTACTGAGTTAGATAGGTAAAGAAGCCTTCAACTGAAGAACCTGGTTATATTTAAATATGTCTAATCTTTACCTGTACTTCAAATCCAAACAGTGCTCTGATAAGTAAAATTTTGTCCTTGTCAACCGACTGTACAAAGGCAAAGGTGAATTGCACTAAAACATTACAACACATTGTCACCTGCTGAACAGTGATGGGAGGCTGCATTAAATCTGGAGTCATGAGTTCTTGGTCCAGTCTTCCTTGTAGCAGTGACTCTCCTACTCCTACCAGAGTTTCTCCCAGTGTCCCAGCAACAAACAATGAAACAAGCACACACACACATGCATGCACACTCTCACACATACATGCTTTTTGTATGTATACAGACTTTTCAATCAAATACACATAAATGCATATGTATTTACACACATATATATGCACACATACATACAGATGTCTTAAAAATATTTTACTATGAGGAAGGAGTGTAGCTAGATCCTTCCTTCCCAATATCTGACCAGGTGAAAGCTGTAGTCCTGTTTCTAGGGAGCATTCCCTAACTCTGAGAGAGAAGCTCTGCTGGTTCATTGTCTCCCTTCTGCACCCAGAGGTAAAGTGGCCTATTCTACAGTTTCAGGCAGGTTTGCTTTCACACATCCTTAACTTACAGCCTCTGCTTTGTGTAATAGAGCTCATCTTGGGCAAAAAAAAAAACTAAATGATTTTTCTTCTGTTTCTTTTCCCTCTGTGCTTGAGAGTATGCTTCCAGACCTATTCCAAGGCTATTGCTCCAGTCTGACCACAAGCCCAGCAGTATTTGAAGCCTAGGGGAGTTGACCAATTCTGTCCCCAACCACACTGTACATTGCCTAGTAAGAAACCTTCAGTTGACTGGCTTTCCTGGAAACCCGAGAAGCACATCCCCCGTAGCTTGGGCCCCCATTCACTTGGCAGATGAGGATGAGGTTGGTCCTGTTCCAACTGTTCCTTGGTATACACAGCAGAGCCCAGGGCCTCTGCTGATCATGGAGAGAATGTCTTCAGCCAAATGTTTAAGAAGACTAAAATCTACTATTCGAAGGGAGGACAATGCCAGGATGGAAAAGTGTATAGACTCATGGAACTAGAGTTTTAGGAATTGGACTGAAGGAAATGATGGAGATGTAAGGACAATAACCAGAGCTTTACTTATAAATGCAAAGTATCTGCAACAAACCAAATGGTGCTAAATACCAAGGTGTGGAAATGAAATTAAATAATGTTATGACATCTTTAAATGTAGTGGAATCTTGGAGGCAGAAGTGGTTTCAAGAGTTACATTAAGGAAGGCTATTACTTTTGCCATCAAGGGATATAAAAACTTAAGTTTCTGATTTTGATTTTTTTGGCAGTCCTGGGGTTTGATCTGAGGACCTCATACTTGCTATGCAGATACTCAACCTATGCCACCAGCCTTTTTTTTGTGTGTTTGTTACTTTTCGAGATAGTATCTTGCTTTATTATGCCTAGGTCAATCTGGACTGTTATCCTTCTATTTGTGCTTTCTTACTTTGCTGGGGTGACAGGTACCCACTTCAGTGACCAGGCATTGTGTTTCTTTTTTAGTTGGAATAACAAGTATATTACCATGCACAGCCATTGATAGAGATAGAGTCTTGTAAGCTTTTGATCTGAGCTGGCCTTGAACTGTGCTGGGCATGAGAGAAAGAAAAGTGTTACAAAGAGAAAGAAAAATGCCATGCCAAATATGAGGCCCTGATGGGGGTGTGTGTGGTGACTTGCCTATAATCCCTAGCACTCAGGAGCTGAGGTAGTAGGAGTATGAGTTTGAGGCCAGCCTGAGCTACACAGGGAGACCCTGTCTCAAAAAACAAAACAACAGCAACAAAAACTCACCTAAACATAAAAAAACCCATATATGGAATCTCTCCTCTTCAAGTCAAAGTAATTCAGGTCCTTTCAGTACCTTTGCTGAGCCTTGTACAGATCAATAAGGATAATGATGATGATGATACTGCCACTGCAGTATTTACTCAGCAATAACTCTGCAGCTGGCATGTATAAAGAGCTTTAATTTTCACAACAGGCTGATATTTATAGCAGAGGATAAGGCCACAACTCCTGTATTATATGGTCTCCTATTAAAAACTTGAAACGACACTGTGTATTTATGTCCAGTATCATACTGATCACTGGGAAGCTATTACCCTTATTTAACAAGAAGAGGAAACCAAGGTCCGGAGATGTTAAGTGATCTGCATATCACACATAGCTGACAAGCCCAGAGGCAGAATTTCCACTGAGGAAACCTGGAACTCAAGTTAGGATAGACAGTTGATGGAGGTAGATTTCTATAAGAAAAATTACTGTGCCAACTCATCACTATGTATCTACTGGTTTACTCCCTTTATCCCAATTTGGAGCTGTAAAGACAAGGCCTTTTCATACCCAGTCCCTTGAAGGCATAACATAATCATCAGCTATATGTAAGAGCCAGCCTTGATACCTACATGTGATTAAATAATACCTAATAATGGTAGCCGCAACTCTCAGATATTGGCCTTTGCCATTTGCTAGGCCTGGTGCCAGATGCTAAAACACGTAATATTACAACTGCCACGAGATGCGTACTCTTAAGCCTTTTTACAGATGAACAAACTGACATTGAGGGGGTAAAAGGCTTGCCTTGTGGTAATACTGGCATAGGAACCAATATCTGACTGACTTCCAGAAGAGCCATAGGCCTCATCTCCTACCCCTCACCAGACTCTTCTTATAAAAACTGAAACATAACTATATATTTTAAGTCTTAATAACTGGTTCAGATTTTCTGGAATGAAAAAAATTGCATTTGAGGTGATAATTCTCTGTTCTTTGGAACTAGGAGGAATGATTTTCTAATTAATTCATTTATTATTTCCAAGTATGTTAAAGTACCAACTCCAGGTCTGACATGGGGGAAAACACACAAAGGCACATTCAGTAGGGCATAGGACTTCTTCCTTTAAGCATTTAAACACAAACTGAGTTAAAAAAAAAAAAGGCAAAATTATTCCAAGGAAAAAAGGGCCACAGAGGTGATGCTGGAGCTGAACTCAAGAAAACAGGCTCAGGTATCTGCCCACAGATCTAGAAAGAGACTTCTCAATAATAGCCTATACCTTTCATTTTCAGCAATTCTATTTCCTACCCTAGGAGGGTTACTTAGCAATAGAACTGGAAGGGTACAGTGTATCTGGAAGGGTACACAGTATCAAGAACACATAGAGCCAACAGAACACAGAGCAGCTGGAGGTATCCCTCCTGAGCAGGAGGAGGCCACATGGAAGGTCTACCACCCTGACTCTGGGCAACAGGGACTCACGTTTCTCTGTTGATTGCACAGCATGGAAGAGTGTTAGTGGCCTCTCACTGCAGGATGGGGGCTTGGAGTCACTGCTTTTCTTCCGAGACAGGTGTAGCTGGGCATTGGTGAGTGGCACATCAGGCACAGTGTTAAATATCTGCAAATAGAGTTTCACAAAAAGGTTACTTGCTTCTATGAATTAAGAAGACAGCACAGGCCTTAATCAGTACAATGTAAAGGTTAGTGGTAAGGAAAGATTAGTGGGAGAAAAGATTGGAGAATGATGAAAGGGTTGACATTGGTTAGGATGCATTGTATTCATAAACTGCCTTGTTAAATGGCAACTCCTTTGCTCCACTACTTAAAGATAATAATAGTAATAAAGATGAAACACCATAAGAGCTCATTCTCATTCCATTCATTTGCTGGAATACTTTTCCAAATAAAATAAACAAAACACACACACACACACACACACACACACATACACAGAAAAGACTGGAGAAGACATTTCTGGCATTTGCTCAGGGCTTCACTATAGATATATCTAGAAGTAGTATTAGACTAGGAACATTAGATTCAGGAACTGATCCTAGAGTTTGGTGACAGCTCACTTACATTTCTAACCCTGTCTGTCATGATCCCCATGAATCAGGAGAAATGGAAGTTATTGAGATAACCAAAGCCATTGTCTATTAAAAGTATTTACTTTTTGTTTTATTTTAAATTATAAAGTTATGCAAAGGAAATACCATTATTTTTATAAGTACAATGTATCTTGATCAATGTCACCCCTTTCCTTCTTCCCCATCTCTCCTAACCCAGCCCCTTCCCTCAATTTCTTAATTTCACAGGCTATGTATTGCATGTAACAGTAGTTTTATGAGTGTCTTTATCCAGAACCAATTAATCAGAAATCCCTTTACTTTTCTTTATTAGTTTCCTTCCCAGTTCTTCTCAACTATTCCATAACTTTCTTAAACTGCTAACTCCGAGCAGGGCTTTTCCCCTCACCAGCTGTCCTCAGAGGGAGAAGCCTTCCCATTTCAGCAGCTCTGCAGTATGAATGAAGCAGAACTTCCTTTTTCTGGCTGAAAAGTTACAAAGAGGTTGATTTTTTTCTCCTTTTAAAATTATCTTCAAATAATTGTACAAAGAGGTTTATATATAACATTTCTATTATGAGTACAAGGTATCCTAAGGTGTTGATTTTTAACCCATGATAAAAGGTACAAATGTGTGTATATATGTGTGTATACGTATATAGATAAAGATATACACACTACACCTACACCTATACTACACTACACCTACATATTCTCATATGTATCTTTGACAACTTGGAAAAATGTAGAAGAGTCTTAAGAAAACAGAGTAACTTTCCCAGTTCTATTATTCAGAGAAAATTACTATTAACATTTAAGGGTATCCTTCCCACCCCCCCCCTCAGGACTGAGAACTAATGGCAGTGCTTTATCACTTGAGTCATACCCCAAGTCCTTTATGCTTTAGGTTCTTTTCCAAATATGTTCTTGTGCTTTTGCCCAGACCAGTTTTAGACTCTGATCTTCCTAGTAACTGAGATTACAGGCATATGCTACCATGTCGAGTTTAGGTTTTATTTCTTTATAAGTTTTGTTTTTTTTGGGAAGGTGAGAGAGATATTAAAGTCCATGGTAAAAATATGACAAAAAAGCGATAGACAAAAGTAACAGCAACTCTTAACCTTTCTTTCTATAGATAAAAGTATGACAGCATCTACAAATCATAATAGCTAACAATTGCATGGTGCCTACCACGGTTATAGTAGCCACCACTTACTGTGAACTCCCCAGGTGCCAGGCACCTCACTCTACAGCCTATCTGCACCTCACACAGTTCTCAGAACCCTGTGTGATAGTCAATGTGAACCTTGAGGCATAGGAAGGTGAAGTTACCAATATTCTAGATATAGTTCTAGATGGGAACAGGCCTCCCCCCACCAGCCCCAGATTCCTTTTTAAATGCATACAATAATACTACTCATTCATTCAATCAGTGAAATTCTTTTGAACATCTACTTTATACTAAGCACTTTGGGTTTAGCAGTGAATGATACAAATGTGTTTCCTGTGGTTAGAGAATTTACATTCCAGTAGCTGCGGTTTACTAAGTATTTGCTACGATACATACTGGGCTAAGTACTTTGTGTGAATTCTCATTTAATGCTAAACACACTTTCCATAGCTGAGATTATATGCTTTATAATTTTATATCCTATATATTCCTTCTTCCATTATACGGCAGTATTCTCTATTTGTTAAAAAAAATCCCTAACATGATTCATAATGGTTATATAACCAGCCCTCTGACTGTATTGAGCTATCAAAGTTTATCAATGCATTTGGTTATCACTTTTCAGTAAAGTTACCATTTTTCTTAATTTTCTCTTTCCCCCATCACGACTTACAAGAGGGTAGAGGTGGCTGGCCGTTTCCCTTCAGGTATGGGTGACCCTACATACCTGAGAATCTTTCTCCTAATCATCTCCTTTGTGTCTGCATTTAAAAGCAAAATTCTAAAGCTAACACGGAGGAAACAACTATATAAGAATTATAAGAATTTCAGCTGTTCTCCCTGGGTTGGCAGGTCCTGGGCTCCAGTGATGCCAGTCAGCTGGTTAAGTCAGTCTCCCTCTAAAACACAGCTGTTTGAAGGCAGCATTATCATATCTTTCCTAGGGACTGGAAATTCACAAGATATATGGAATCACTGCACATAGCTGAGATGGACTGGGGAGAAGGCTAGGAAGAGGAGACTTAAAGCAAAAACAACATGATATCTAACTTCAAGAGCAGTTGGAACCAGTATATAATGTTTCCCAGTGCTATATAGTCTCTAGTCTCTTTCTGACCTCCTACAATGAAAGAAAAGTGAAAAGCTATGTTGAGCTCCAGTGTTATGACCTCTAAGAAACTTTCTCCCCCTTGACTTTGTGCCTCCAAGTCATAATGAGCTATAGCCATTTTTACATGACACCCTTAATATGCACCATTATCATCAACATTTTAAAGTGGCTTCTCTACATGTGTGTTTGCACCTGTTAAGCACTAGGCTAAGTGTTCATGTGACTAATTCCTAAGCTGTAGGTCAACTCAGCAAAGAACATAGGATCATTTGTTGTGCAATGAGATCTCCTGATCTGCCATACATGTGAGCAAGAGTGAGACCACAAGTAAAACCTAGGACTTCAGAGACATTACACCTTTCTAAATTAGACCAAGTGGGAACAGGACACAAATGTTCATTAAGGAGTCTAGGAAGTCATCCTCTAAAGTTCTATTGTTTATTTAACTCTGAAACTTGAACACAAGCCAAGTTGCTTTCTTGGCCACTTTCTAGCCAGGTCAGGGGGTTTGCCTGTAGGCCCAAAGTTCAAGTTGGAATTCTGATGCGAATAGGAATCATTCACAGCTCTGTTGGTTATTTCAATCCTATTTCATTTAGAAGAGAATCAAATGAAGCTTTCTTCAGGCTGTCAGGAAGAAACACTGGTCAAAGCTTTCTGCTGAAGGACTGGCACATGAGCTCATGTCAACTAGGAGCAATGGATTCATGAAACACTTCCATGCAGCTGGAACAATCTACTCATTTTACACACACCTTCCAAATTAACACAGAGAGAGGAGATTCATTCTATGCCCCAGGTGTTCTGTTAAAACTGACCAACTTAAATGAATTCCAATTTAGTCATGAATGTCTTGCAGATAAAAGTTAAGAAGACTGTAAGACTGCTATAAGCTATTAAAAATAAAATTATAAAATAAAAATACAACTCTAGGTAAACCTGCTAAGTATTTTCAATTTCAAGGTTCCTATAAGTAGAAACTATAAATGCTGAACTACTATTTTCACTTAAGCCATGAAAGATAGAAGTTGGATTGGGTTGATTTCATCTTTGCAGTCAGACAGCCTTGGAATGAATCCAGGACAACACCAACAGCTTCATTGACCCATCATTGACATCTACTTCATCACCATATCACCATATGAAATACAGGAAAGGAATATAAAGTAATTTTGAAGGAGGAGAGTATTTGAACTTTAAAATGCAACAGATCTGAGTTTGAATGCTGGCCTTCAACATACTAGCTGAACACACACAAATGGTTTTTAAGCCTTCTAGACCTCTATTCCCTTGTGAAAATGGGGATCTAACATGGCAAGGTACATAAAATGCTTAAAATAGAATCAGGACAAGAGATAGTACTAGTATGTATGACAAAAAATAACCAAAATTCATTCAGTGCTTGCTTACCATGATAAATTATTTACACAGACAAACTTTGTGGATTACTTCATTCCTAATAATAATGACAGATACTATTATTCTGGCCATTTTTTGGATGAGGAAACAGACTCACTGAAATTACCCAATTTGTCCAAGGTGACAAAGATAAGGAGCACAGTTGGGTAGGGCCCAACAGCTTGTGAGGCTCAACCTCTTGTGCATTTTATACCTAATATTAATTTGAGAAACAGAAGACAAGATAGTACGTTTTAGAGTTCAACAGATTTGATTCTAGCTCTGTGATCTTGAGCAAAGGATGTAAATCTGTGATGTGACCTCCAGATAGCTCATCTACAAAAGTTGGAGATTCCTCAACAAAAATAAAGAAAAAGAAAAAAACTAAACAAAGAAGTACCCCCAATGATCCAGCAATACCACTCTTAGGCATTTATCCAAAAGATTACAAATGAGAATGTAGTAAAGCCACTGGTACACCCATGTTAATGACTGCAATGTTCAAGGTATGGGCTTTAAAGTGAGACAAGTGTGAATTTCAATTCCATAGCTAAGGTATGGAAATAGACCAGATGCCACTCAATGGACAAATGGATCATGAAATGTGTGTGTGTATGTATATACACACATATATATACGCATATACATATATATGTGCATATATATGTGTATACACACATTTCATGATCCATTTGTATATATGTGTATATACACAGAAACATATATATATATATATATATATATATATATGCACACACATACATGCATATCACTGAATTTTGCCCATTTACCAGGAAGAATGATACTACATCATTTTCAAGGAAGTGGATGGACCTGGAAAAAATTATATTAAGTCAGGTCCAGAGAGACAA